GTTGTGAGTGTTGAAAAAGCCTTATTTTAAATGTAATTATAATTTGATAATACCTTAAAAAGTGGTGTATTTTCTTAGTTTTCTTTTCCCCATTTCTGTATGTCCAATTATAGAGAGGCCTCTATTGAGTGTTTTGGACCCATCTAGTGTCCTTCCAGGGAGTTAATATTAACTTGAGCTAATGTTCATTTAGCGCTTTCTATGGGTAGGCACGAAGAGCTCTATCAGTTTTATTTTGCTTAATCCCCACAATAACCCTGAAAGGTAAGAACTACCATTATCTCTATATCATAGATGAAGAAATTGGATCTTAGGGTAATTCTTCTGCTTAAGCTAGCACAGATAGTGAGTGGTAAAGCCACAATTCAAACCTCTGTGTGCTCCCAGAGCCCATATGCTACTACATGATATTAGCCTGCATCTCAGAAGGGAAAGCAAGATGAGCCATTGAATGTAGAACTTGTTACCAATAAAAATTACCTGCACCTGTGTGCCCTGGAGCCACTTCTAAGATGTTTTTGCCAAAAGTAAAAGACTACTGTCTGATGCTCATGTTTGTAATATGCCATGTACTTTCTCTCCAAACTCTTGAATGCGTATCACTTCAGTTTTTCCCCAAACACAGAAGAAATAGGATTCATTCATTTATTTCACCTTGGTTGCATGTCTATAGAACCAAGGCAATGTTTCAAGCATTTGTAATTTGTTTAATCCCTGAACAAAACACAAAACAAAGAAAACAGACTCTGCCTTTTTGGAGTAGTTTTGTGGGTTTCAATATAAAGGAAATTGACAGCATCTAAGAAAAAGGGAGAGTGTCTAACAAACAACTGGGCAATCATGTAGTAGGTTTTAATCAGCATTCATTTCTTAAATGTTAGGCTCGCTGAAGACAAATATGCCTGGATTAGAATTTTTTTTTCTTTTTGTTTTTCTAGATTAGACTATCATCATTCTTTCTCATCTTTGTTTCCCTACCTATTAAATAGGGCCACCAAAAGAGAAAGTCGTGCATTCCTCTGTCTTAGGATATTTAGTCTTCACTTTTCCCATATTTGGACATGTTATATATTTTTTGGTGGTGGAAATGAGAGAGATCAATAGTCAATACTGTTGGTTGGAAGATGTCAAGTAAAACTTCCATCCATCTGGGCACCGCTCTTTGTTCATGGATGCTAGATGCCACAAGATATTGAGAGCTAATAAGAAGGCAAACTAGGGATCTTTCGATCTGCTCTTTGTCACAGTATTTGAGTTTTGTGGTGTTGACACTGTAGAACTAAAACATGAAGAGGATTGTGAAACTGTATAATGGGAGAACTTATTCCCCCAATATAATGTAGTCAAGATGTACACCTTTTATAGGTGATTGGAGTCCTCCATGACCTCACGTAGGAATGTACAAGTACGTACTAATACAATCTTTTAAATGTGAGCAAATTAGAATGGGTTCTATCTTTTCTGTGTCCTCTAGCACTCCCAAAGGTTTATTCCTTAAAGGGAAATCTTGTTACAATGACATATTGAAGGGCAATAATCTTCATGAGCATTGGAAAGAGAAAAATAACAAGCTTGAATAACAGTATATTTTTTAAGATTCTTCAAAATTTACTCACAATTTTTTTTTTTCTTAAGATTTCCAATCTGGTGTGTCTCCTGATTATACACTTAAACCTTTGAAGAACTTCCTATGTGTTTATAAAATGATTCATTCTACTTTGTTGAGCTCTTAAATGCCTGTGCACCAAACACAGTAAAAGCCCGTGACTATGTTCAGTATTATTAGGAACATGGAACAGTGAGTCATTTTTCCACCCCTGTTTAATGAAACCTCTTTGTTCTGATGAGACTGTGTGAAATAGGGTTTTAAATTCAAAGCATATTAACTAGAAAATATAGAAGCTAAGAAAAAATGCAGAAAAGTGATCTCCTGAGGCACTGGGAAAAGCTAAGAGCTGTTTAAGGTGGAAAACTATAGTTTTGTAATAAATAAGATAAACAATATAAGCCGGTGGGTTTATGTTCCATTGAAATCTTTACTAAATGTATGTTATTTTCTAAAAAACTCTTACTATTTAAATAAATGCACACTAAACTGCTTGATAATTTAAAGATATAGCACTTAGTACTTACCAGATAGAGTACTGTGCACCTTACATAAATTAACCGATTAACTGACTTAACACTTATAACATTCCCAAGAGTTACCTACTATTACTATTCTCAGTTTACAGATGAAGAAGTTGAGGGACAGAGAGGTAAGGTAACTTGATCATTGTCACACAAGGAGTAGTAGCTCCAGAATTTGAATCCACGTAGTCTTTCTCCAGAACTCATACTCCTAACCACTAAATGTCTCTCAGGTTATCTATTTTTGTTCATATATTAGGCAGTTTATTAATAGCTTACATCAATATGCATACTGTTGTAAGTACTATTTTATCACATTTAGAGAGTTATTTTCAGCTGGGTACGGTGGCTCATGCCTGTAATCCCAGCACTTTGGGAGGCCAAGGCAGGCGGATCATGAGGTCAAGAGATTGAGACCATCCTGCCCAACATGGTGAAACCCTGTCTCTACTAAAGATACAAAAATTAGCTCGACATGGTGGTGCGCACCTGTAGTCCCAGCTACTCAGGAGGCTGAGGAAGAAGAATTGCTTGAACCCAGGAGGCGGAGGTTACAGTGAGCCAAGACTGCGCCACTGCACTCCAGCCTGGCGACAGCGTGAGACTCCATCTCAACAACAACAACAATAACAAAGCTATTTTCTATTCTTTGGTGAAGTAGTTCAAGCAAAAGCTGGTCGGTTAGTTATTTGTATTCGGGATTGGAGCAGTAGGTAAAGGAATTAGGAAATAGCTATACTGTTTACCTGGAAATTAACAACCCAATTTTGTTGCTGTAAAAGTTGACTACTTTCTATGCTATAAATTATTTTGGAAAATAGTTTGAATTATGAATTATTATTTTGGAAAATAGTCTACTTTAACAGAAAGTGTATAGTGTTAAGCTTGGAGACTTTATAACACTTTCTTTTAATGGGGTAAGGGAGAAGGAAAAATTTTTTTGTTTTATTTTTGAAATGGAGTCTCACTCTGTTGCCCAGTCTGGAGTACACTGGCACGATCTTGGCTCACTGAAACCTCTGCCTCCTGGGTTCAAGTGATTCCCCTGCCTTAGCCTTCTGAGTAGCTGGGATTACAGTCACCTGCCACCACACTGGGCTAATTTTTGTATTTTTAGTAGAGATGGAGTTTTACCATGTTGGCAAGGCTGGTCTCAAACTCCTGACCTCAAGTGATCCATCTGCCTAGGCCTCCCAAAGTGTTGGGATTACAGGCATGAGCCACCACACCTGCCCAGGATAAGGAAAATTTTGATTAGTTCTTGATCAGAACATGGTGCTTAGAAAGGATATAGAGGAAACAGTGGAGGTATTGGTCTACTCAGCTATACATTGAAGACAGGTCAGGATGCCCTGGATTCAAGTCTTATCACTTGCTAGATATTTGGTGGTGTGCAAAGGAGAGAGAGAGAACTTGCCTTGTAGAACCTTGTTAGTCCAAGTGTGGCCCAGCAGTACTGGCATCAGTAGGGAGCTCATTAGAAATGCAGAATCTCAGTCCCCAACTAGACCTATTAAATCAGAACCTGCATTTTGATAAGATCCCCAGAGGATTCGTTTGCCTATGAAAGTTTGATAAACATTGTAATGGAAGGAAGTATAAACCAAAGATAAAATTCTAAGGTTCCCCTAACCATCTGAATGGACCCCTACTCTCTGCCAAGGGCGTTCCAGAGTTAACCTGAAAAACTAGTTCAGGCCATAATGGAAGAGGGGGTCAGACCTGCCTCATTATACCCTTTAGAATTAATGTCAACACAGACCTTAAGTCTGATAAGAAACATTTACAGTCTGTTCTCTCCCAGACATTCCTTTCTATTGATAATAACTCTTTCAACAAATTGCCAATCAGAAAAATTTTAAATCTACCTGTGACGTGGAAGCCCCCACTTCTAGTTGTCTCACCCTTCCAGATCAAACCAGTGTAAATCTTATGTGTATTCCTTGATGTTTTATGTCTCCGTAAAATGTATAAAAGCAAGCTATACCTCGATCACCTTGGAAACATGTTGTCAGGAACTTCTGAAGCTGTGTCACAGGTGTGTCCTTAACTTTTGCAAAATGAATTTTATAAATTGAGATCTGTCTCAGATACTTTTGGGTTCACAGGAGGATATACTTTTTAGGTTTCTGTTCTGTTTTGAAGGGCAAGAGATGACTTCAAGAATCTTCGGCATAAATCTCATCTCTTTAAGAGCCTGCTATCTAGCTGAGTGATTTTATTTTCTTGCAGAAGTTCTCTTTTTCTTTTGCAAATCATAATGATGCCTGAGATGATAATAATAATAGCTAAGATTGGCTGAGTATATACTATGTGCCAGCCACTGTCCTACATGTTTTGTGATTGTTATCTCATTTAATTTTTATAGTTAACCAATTTAACTGATATTTTTACTTATCTCCAACTTACAGATGAGGAAACAGAGCTACAAACGATTGAATAACTTCCCCAAGATCATACGGCTAACAGAATCCAAACCCAAATTTGACTTTTAGATCCAAGTGGCATTATTTGCAGACTGAACTGTTTCTCAGCTATTAAGACCTACCCTACTGTTCATGTAGTGGCTTAATTTCTTATCTGATCCTCCCATTAAAGAGGACAACGTAGAGAGATACTGTATGGACCCTAATACATTTTGAATTCTTCAAAGCTTCTAAGCAATATCAAAATGCTTACCACCAAACTCTTCAAAACATGCCTCATTCATAAGCAATTGGCATATTTGTGGATACACACTGCATTGTAGGACATATTTCAAAAAAGAAAAAAAAAGTGGGGATTTACAACACCAGATATTAGACACATTTTTTTTCAACATTAGAAGGTGCTACTTTTTAATTTCTTTAATATAATTTGTACCATAGGAACTACAGCAGTACTATCCTGGTGTGCTGATGGAGGCTTCTGCAGGGAGTAGGCTAATACCTCAACAGGTAACAGAAGAATCATTTCAAATGAAACATATTATACCTCCTGCTAGCAGGTCTCACCTGTTAACCTCAGAGTATGATGCTGTTGAATCTTTGAAGGTAAGGCCTCCTAGGGGATGCCACCTACTTCATCCCAGGGAGACTAAGATGGAAAATGTTTCCCATATGGCTCTCTGTATGTTCTTTGACCTGAAGCTTCAGCCCTGGATGAATGAGTGTTTTCCAAATTGTTGTTTTGGTTCAGTGAAAGATGTTTCTAATGCTCTTCAAATAGTAGAACTTTTTGTTATTGTTGTTCAAGTTAAGGCAAGGACAACAATTCTTTAGCAGCTATATTCCTTTTCTTATTTTATTACAATTTTCCTTTATATATTCAGTGTTTCATCATATGCTTTTTACTCATAAGGTTGTAACTCAATTAAAGCATTCAAGCATTTTAGCCTTGTGCATTAAAGACTATCATCAATAAATTCAAATGGGGCTAACCTTGGAGTGACATCTTCATTTCTATGATAATATACAATCTGCAAATCTTTTCGTGTCATTGGTCACAGCTTGATCATACTCTCATAAGTAAAGACCTTGGAACTTTAAATAAGTTACTTCTTCATCTTTAGCCAGTTGGATTCGTTTATTTATAAATGCTTATTTCCGTTATTTCACTGAGCTTAAGCTGTTGATTGATGTTTCATGTGACCATTTTCCTTTTCAAAACACAGGAATATAGCTGGGACATAACTTTCCAATAGCCTTTTAGTATGAAAACCTATTTTGTATATGGTTCTTTCTGTAATCACTTGTGCATGACTGAGCTTAAATGGTTTGCAGACCTTGCTGATGGATTACAGAACAAGCAATGAACTTGCAATTCTTTCTTAAGGGATTAGATGATTTTGCACTGTGGTGAACTGTGCATTTTGCCCCTCATTTCACTCTTGCTTAGGTGCTGTTTGGTGATTAATTTTATGAGATATGATGAGAAATCCCCTAGATAAGCTGCACAAGGCAGATGGTACCTTCTGATAAAAATGACATTCTTGTCCAATAGTGATAGGCATGGGATAGAAGATGATCTGTTTGTATGCATTTCTAAAAGGAAGGCCAAAGTACTCAGTTAAGGAAGAAATAGTTCAAGACCCTTTTACCCTTTAAAACTTGCAGGGCCATGGAACCACATAGAGAACCCCAGGTTGCCATTGATGCTCACTAGCCAACCTATGGCAAGCTCTCAGCTTGCAATATTTGTTTCACCAACTTGTTGTATTACAGCATTTTTGTTTTATGTTTGTTGACTGACATAATAGGGCAGAAATACTGCTAGAAGTTTGTCTAGCACAATAATTGATCAAGTAATTAATCAAATATATTTTGATTTTCTTCCAAAGAGCCACCCAGTCTTTGAATTCAACAGTGTTTTTAGCTTTTAAAAATGTGTGAGAAAAAGAGTAATAAAAGGAAATAGAGACTATCGCTATAATAAGCGATAAGCAGAATTAGTTTTTTAATTTTTTTTTTTTTTAGTGGAGACAATGTATTCACAGGTTTCAGAGTGTGGCTACTTGCTGTGAAAGCTGAGGTAAGTCACAAGATTTTGCAAAGCCCTTGCAAAATGGAGATAATGATGCACCCGCCTTTTAAGCTTGTGGAACTTGTGAGATTTGAATTAAATGATCCATGTATATTGCTAAACATAGTACGTAGTAAGTTTTATAGAAATGTTGGTGTCTTCATCTGTTTTGTGTTGCTATTACAGAATACCAATACAGAATACCACAGACTAGGTAATTTGTAAACAGTAGAAGTTTATTTGTTTCATGGTTCTGGGAACTGGAAGGCCCAAGAACATGACACCAGCACTTGGTGAGAGCCTTCATGCTATGTCATGGGGGAAGGCAGAAGGGCAAGAGACGGTGAGAGCAAGAGAGAATAAGGAAGCTGAACTTACTTTGATAGTAACCTACTACCATGATAACAACAGTAATTAATTCATGAGGGCAGAACTCTCATGACCTGATCACCTATTATTGGTCCCCACCTCCTAACACTGTTGCAGTGGAAATTAAATTTCCAACACATGAAATTTGGGGGACACATTCAAATCATAGAAGTTGGTTACTATTATATATCTTTGAAGCCATGCCAAGCATACTCTGTTTAGACTTATTTTCCCATTTTATAAGTGCAGAAACAGACATGTCAAAAAGTTAAGCAAAATTTACAAAGTCGCAGCTAATGGTCTCAGGCTGTCTCATATCAAAATTGTGACTATAATTCTGTGTTTAATGCTGAACATAACTTTAAGTGTTTTTTCTCCATAATTTTATCAGGAAACTGAAAATCAGAGGTTTTATGTATTATACAAAAGAACCCCAGGTTAATAAGTCACAAAGCTGGGATTTGAATGTTGTTCTGCCTGAATTCCAGATGTTCCTTGCTCATCACCCTGCTCTCTGAACGTCACATGGGATTATAGCATTTGAGGAAAGGGCTTATACATCTAGCAACATTTTCCCACTAATTTCCTATTCTTTTTATTTTCTCTATATTCACTAAATATTTCAGCGATGGTTGAAAGGAACAAACTTTAAAATACATAGGCAAAAATATGAATAAGATACTACTTCAAAATTACCAGAATAGCTACAACTGGAAAGACTGACAACACCAAATGCTGGCAAGGATGTAGAGAAAACAAAACTCTAGTACTTTTTTGGTGAGAGTGGGAATGGTACAACCACTTTGGAAAAGGTCTGACAATTTCTTTTTTAAAGTAAACATACCCCTCTACTATGACCTGGCAATTCCACTTATAGGTGTTTACCCAAGAGAAATGAAAACTGAAGTCCACAAAAAGACTTCGCAAAAATGTTTATAGCAGTCCTGTTTACAATGTCCAAAAACTGGAAAAAATACAGATGTTTATCAATCAAGAAAGTAGATAAACTGATGTATGGTCATATGATTACTACTTAGCAATAAAAAGGAACAAGCTACTGCAACATGGATGAACCTCAAAAACATTATGCTAAGTGGAAGAATTACACAAAGGAGTACATACTATTTGAGTACATTATGATAATTATGGTCTAGGACAAGTAACACTAATCTGTGGTAGTGCTTCCCTCACTAAACACAGTGACCTGCTCCTTATGGGCAGCAATAAGAGATCTGCACATATTTAAGGAAACACTATGGCTCATGTGATTCTCAGACAACTGTGGAGGTCTCTTAAATGAAACTACCCTTAGTTACTTTAGACAGCTTTGTGGAGGAATAACTGACATTATTTATGTCCCTACTGTGGGCAGTTTTACCTGCAACATGGATTATCCACTTAAACTGATAATAAATTTGTCTCTGACATTAGCTAAAGTGATTGATGACAACTTCTTGATTCTGTAAGCCATTCAAGCCAGCTTGAACTCACTGGCCTGGGTTATTTTGTTATCTGTATTCATTAAATATTCCAGTGATGGTTGAAAGAAACATACTTCCACAAGAGATGCTTTCCATGATAAAATTTTACTTGGCTTCTTCCTTGTGGGCCAAGGCAGAGTTTGTGCAATCACTAATACATCCTGCTGTATATGAGTGAATGCCTTGAGGCAAGCAGAAGGTCAATACAGAGACCTAAGGAGTAAACCATCTGGTGGTTTATCAGACTTGTTCAGCTGACTGCGTCTGAGACCCTGAGCAGGGCATGGTTGAGATAATAATGCTTGAAGTTCTGTTGATAGTACCTATAATTAAATACTGTATTAGACAAATTGAATGAATTACGTCCCAACATGAATTAGTCACTGAGAGAATGGTGTGTGTGGTACAATTCACGAGATGCCAAGATGGTGTAGAAATGAGGAGTGGAGATTGTTGTGAGATAATTCTCCATGTGTCTCTTGCTTTATCTGCATGTATTAAGAGTGATGCTCTTTGTTCTGAAAGTTCCTTTGTTACAAATGTTTCTTTGTTCAAGATCTTCTTTTCAAGGATGTAAGCAGGCATGGTCACTGCCCATTATAAAAGATTCAGTTTCCCCATGGAACCAGGATGAATATTGACACTAGTTGTTGCAAGAGGAAAGAACTGAGGCTGGTTGATTGGCAAGGAAGTCATCCTACACAAAGGAGAGTCAGCCACAACTGATTTTTGTCTTTGAATCTACTTTCTGGTAGTAGGCCTGTAATCACCTTCCCATTTTTTTCTCTCTTTACTAAAAAATGCACTGGGGGACTTGGGGGACTATTTGTTATTCATAGACCATACCATTTGATTAACTTGTTTACTACCAGTTCTCATAGACTTTTCTCATATTTTGTTAAATGTCCTCATCTTTCCTCTTACAGAAATCCATGTATTTTCCAGCACTCAATCCTCACCGCCAAAACTGTCAAGAACGTAAAGGGTCTGAGATTGTACCCTACTTGCAAGGTAACAAGTTAACCTTGCATAATTTCATGTCTGCTGGTAGAAGCTATGACACTCCTGAGTCAGAAGTAAAGAACTGCTTATATTGTTTATTTCTCACAGTAATAGCAGTAACCAGAATATAAGCCCGTTTTCCAATTTTCGTAGAGAAGAGGGCTGGATGGTACCTCAGTAATTCAGTGGGTTGCATTTTAGGAGAGAAATCCTGAACGTAAGGTGCCTGAATCTCTATAATGGGCAGAGTTAGCATGTTTGCCCTTTTCTCCAGAGGGAGATGCTTTCTGTCTTCCAAGGCTGCTCACAATACAAATATCCTAAAAAATATAGTCCAGAAATATATTCAGCCATGGAGAATTGTCTTGATGGGTGCCTCATCCTATACATGGCTTCACATTTCATGACCTGCTCACAGCAGTGCCCTTCATTTTCATTTTTGTTTCACCTTCCTCCTCCTCATCACTCTCTGCTTGACATTGCCCTCATCTAGAAGTGCTCTTTCTGTAAAATCTTAAAACTGTGAAATGTCAAACTCTGACCCAAATATTGTACCTTTCTTTCTTCCTCATGGAGACTAAACAATCTTTGAAATTAATTCCAACTTGAACCTCAAACCCCTTATTTTCCTGGCCTGTCTTTCCTTCCTGGCTTCACTCCCTTCCCTGTCAGGTTAAGGCCCAGCCACTTTCTCTGCACCAGTGTCAATGCCTTTGCTCCTATTTCTTCTGTTATAGTTGTTTGACACTCGCAACTCTGGATTATCTACTACTTGTTTTCTCTCTTTCTGTTGGCACGCTTTCTAACAAATGTGGAGAACACAGAATGACCTTGTTGATGAAAACATTAAAAATGATGATTTCCAATTTTAGTAGCTTCAGGCTATCTCCCTAGTTCAGACTTCTTACCTGTAAAATAATTTGTAGAGATGGCAAGCACCGCAGCAATGAAAACTGAAATAGGCCTCAGATAATGATCGCAATAAAATGTTTATTATAATGCTAGCAGTAAATATAAGAGACACTTTTCTGTCTAATGTCTACCTGGGTAATGGGCCAAAAGCATTTTAAGTTTACAAAGTGCAAACAATTAATACTTTCTTAAAGCTAGATTAAAACAGAACCTAAAATTACATACTCGATGGATCTATATTGTGATTATCTTCACTGAATCTCAGTTCAAGTTCAGGGGTGTAACTTTGCAAGGTGACTTACGACTTTTCCTGTTTTTCATTTTGTTATTTTCCATTAGACAGCTAAACACATTACTAAGTGTCAAAAGCTTTTGCCATGAAGGTAGGTGAAGAAAATCTGAGAGTGAATACTCCGATGATGGTTTTAGTTTATGATGCATTTCAAGCTGTGCCTTTTCAACAGTTAAATACTTCAGCATTTTTAATGGGATGAACCATCACGTATTTAAAAAACTTAAGCACTTTTATTTCAAAGAGAAGAGTCAAGTTTAATGTCAATTGGTGAAAGCATAGAGTATGATAGGTTTTAGGAGGGAAACCTGAAATTGTACAATGTATAAGCATTTTGACATTCTTATTTTATGATCCCTTCCTTAGGGCAGTTCTTATTCAAAATCAAATTTGTGCTGACACTATCAGGCTGCTGATATTTATATTCATGATAATAAATTAGGAAAAAATTAAAAGGTAATAAAGTAGATACTGTTTCATATGAGGGAAAAGCGAGAGGACATCATCGGAAGTCTGTGTTATTAATGTGTTATTAATGCATAAGAATGAAACGAAAAATGGGTGTATTAGGGAGGTTTCTTTTTGGTTGTAAGTTTTATTGAAATTTAGAAAGTTTAGTTGTTTTTTTTTATTTTTCACGAAAGCAATGTAAAAAATGGTAGCTCTTAGTCTTGGAAACAAAAGCCTGTTTAACTTGCTGTGAATCTGACACAGACACTACACTATTATCAATATGATGATAGACCTTAAAATAATTGTGGGTGTCCCTTCCATATGGGAGAGTTTTAGACTTGACTGCTATTTCTGGCTCCTCTATTAATTTAGACTAGCTGCTTAATCCCTTTAGGTCTTCTTAAAATAAATGAATGTATTAGATAATCTTTAAACTCACTTCTAGTTTAAAATTCTTTTGTATTCTTCTATTTCCTATTTCCTCCCTTTTTAGAAACATA